TCCACTGGTACGTTCTGCGGGAGCCTCGCGGCGGCTCCGCCTCACACTGCGCCAGGCGCTCTTTTATTTTTGTAATACAAGGTTTCCGAGCCTTCCCTGTGTCCTGTCCTGTGTTCCCAGGGTGTCTGGGGAGGTGGGAGGAGTGGTCAGGCCCCCTCTTGCTGCCCCAGTTGCTGCGGAAAAAGCCTCTGTCCATGCAGGATCAAGGAATTATTCCTGGGTGTTTGCGAGTAATGTTGTGACTGAGGTGGTGAGGGAAGGGAGGGAAAGGAGGGAAGGGAGGGAAGAAGGCAGCCCACTCCTCTTTTCAGAGGGGTCCTGCAGGCCACAAGGGTCAGAGGTGACAGGGGTGCAGCCCCCAGACCTAAAACATTCTCTCTTCATGCCCCTCTCCCCCGTGAGATCAGACCAGAAGTGCCTGCCCCTCATGGGACCCCCGAGTCTTTGGGGAGCAAACCCAGGATTTCAAATTGCACCCCAGTGTTACCCTGTGAGCTGCCCAGCCCAGCTCAGCTGTAACCTCACACCAGCTTCCACACAGAGCCCAGACCACCCCCATCACACCCGGATCCCCCAGGGTTGGATCCAGCCCTTGGCCCTGCACAGGGCTCTCTCAGTCCCCCTCCACATCAGAGACCATCGTGCCCTGTCTCTCCTCAGTGGCTCTGCCAGGGGCAGGAGGGGCATCAGCACTGGGCTGGCTGGTTTGGACCCCCCCCCCCATGTCCAATTTTTGGATAGCACAGTCCACACAAATTAATGAGCCCAGCAAGCCCTGCCAGGCGGGAGAGCCAAACGCAGGAAAACCAGGGAAAGTGGGTGAGTCTGGTTTTAATTATTTACCTCCTTCCTCCACCCACGGTTTGTAAGATCAGATTGAAAGAATAAGTGTTTAGGAACCCCGTGTCTTTCAAATTCTACAGAAATCTGGCTTTGCAGAGCCCCCACAGCAGAGCAACAGCCTGTGACAGCCCCTGTGCCAGCACCGACTGATACCATCAGCTGCACCCAGCACGTCCTGTCTGGGAGAACCCAGACACAGCCATGGAAACAGGAGATAAGGATGGAAGAGGGAGAGGGACAGGGAATGGTTAGTCCACAGGAGGAAGGGATGGCACATCCAGGGATCTTTGTTAACCCAGGTCTCCGGGGTGCTCCCCCCTCAGCACAGCCCTTCTGGGGCTCTGGGGGTGCACCCACAGCCAGGCAGCTCCTCCAGGGCAGGGAGGTGTCACACAGCCCCTGTCACACCTGGTTTTGGGGACAGTACCTGCTGGATGACCCCAGGAGCCCGATGTGGGATGAGTTATTTCTCTTTTTTTACTTAAGGGTTTTTAAAAGGGCTCCTGGGTGGGACTCGCACCACCAGCACAGCAGGGACCGTCCACAGACCCTGGCAAAGGCTCTGAGGGGGTTTGGGCCTCACCAAGAGCTTTAACTGTCCCCACCACACCGATGCTGCCGGCTCCTCCTCACACCAACATGGTGCCGGCTCCTCCTCACACCAACACGCGGGGGGCAGATTTACACCCCAAAACAAGCCCCCTCCGAGCAGCCCCGCCGTGCTCATGGTCCCAGAGCAGAGCGGGTCTCGTGATGCCGCTCGGTTGTGGCCCCTTCCTCGGCCCCTTCCTTCCTAAGCCGGCTCAGAAAATGAAAGCAGAGCCCTCTGTTCCGCTTCCTGCCTCTCTCCGGCCTCACTTCCCCATTCCCTCACCCCACAGGCCGCTGCCCCTTGCCCCTTCCCCATTCCCTCACCCCTCAGGCCGCTGCCCCTCCGCTGCTCAGCAGGACCAGCAGCATTTCCAACCACGGCTGACTTCAGTGAGGTAGAACGTCCAGACAGAACAATAATAACGTTCCCTTTCTCTCCATCCCTCCCCCCGCCCAAGTGAAACTTGGTATTTTGTCTAAAGGCCATTCCCCACCTGCCCCTGGCACATTCAGGGAGGAGCAGGAGCAGGAGGTGTGAGGTCTCCAGCTGCTGTGGGACCACGGGCTGATTTTGGGAGCAGGAACCAACACCCAGGTGATACAGTCACCAAAACAGGCTGCAGCGACCTGGCCAGCACCACAGCCCAGGGCAGGGAAATGACTCTGATGAGCATCAGATTCCCACAGGGACAGAGCCCCTGGATACAGCCCCATCCCAGGGAACGAGCTGATGGCAGCTCCTGCTTCCCGATGGACATGCCCCCAGGGAAACCCCAGTGGTAACACACTTGGGGAGGTGCTTTAAGCACCTCGAGCTTCTCTTATCTCTGACACATTCCAGAGGTGCAATTGCACAAATGGCTGTGCAGATTTCCTTGGAGGGATCAGAAGCAGCACTACGGAAACTCCAGCTTAAACCGTCTCCAACTGTGAGGTTTTGGCAAGACAAATAAAAAAAAAAAAGGCAAAAAAAAAGCAAAAAAAAAACCACCCCAGAACATTGTTCCTTTGTCTCTAAAGTTTAGCTAAAATCCAGCTGATTTTATGATGAGAGCAGAACCCTCTTTTCCAAATCGCCCCCCAGCAAACCTCTGGATAACACTCACAGAAACTGTTTCTGAGCAGACACAGTGATGTCTCACTGCACATTCTCCCTTGAAATCTCCAAGCACAAGGTCCATGTTTTCTCCTTTCAGTCTCCCTTGACCAGCAGTTCAATCTGCAGGGAGGGAGTTCCCAGGATTTGGGATGTTCAGACTCCATATCTGGGGTAAGATTTAACAACCTAAACACCCATGAAGAGAAGAAGGACCACGAGTTCTCAGTTTATACAGCTGCCCATCATCAGGACAGCTTTTCATTTGGAATGTCCAGGTTGCCAGAAGGCCCAGGAGCGTTGGGTGGTGGGGAGCATCCTGCACTGCCTGGGTGAGGCTGAGCAGCAGCACCAACGCCAGCCTGGGACAAAGATGGGTCAGAGCAGTGGAATCAAGGAATATTCTGAGCTGGAAGGGACCCCCAAGGATCATCCAGTCCAACCCCTGGCCCTGCACAGACACCCCAATAATCCCCCCCTGTCCCTCAGAGCGTTGTCCAAACCCTCCTGGAGCTCTGGCAACCTTGGGGCCCTGGGGAGCCTGGGCAGTGCCCAACCACCCTCTGGGGGAAGAACCTTTCCCTGAGATCTCTGATCCCTGCACTTCCCCTCAGATCTGGGCTTGCCACCTAAGAAATCAACATCTGATGAGCAACAAATTACCTTTGTTTGTATCCCACACACCACAACCTTCTTTTGTGCTTCCACGTGAGCACGAGGCTTCCACCCCACACCTGCCTCCGAGCTCAGGGAAGGACATTTTCCAGAGCACAAGAATTCCAGCCAACAGGTTCATGTAATAAAAGCTGTTTGGGGGAGGAAAAAAAAAAAATCAGTAAGAATCCATATAAATCCATATACATCCATAGCATCCAGATGTCCAGCTCTGGATGAGACCCAGAGCACCAGGCAGGGATCAGCAGCAGAACCAGTGACATGAGAGAGGATCGTGCCAGCATTTCCTGGATATAATATATTGCAACACACCCCCACCCCGCCAATATTAAATCCAGAAGTCATTGTTCCTGGTTTAGACTTTCCTATCCCAACACAGAGAGCCCCAGCAGTGCAGCACAGGCAACCTCTGCAGAGAGTTTAAATTTCATTTGCCTCAGAAGTGGATTTAGAGGGGAAACTCACCTTAAGTCCTTCCCTTGGGCAACACAAGGCATGTAACACAAATTACAAGAAATAAAAAGGCAATTGAGGGGGTTTGCTGTGTTTCTTTTGTGCTTTAGTCAGTGTTTTGGGGCTGATCATTTCTACCTTTGAGGCTTCAGGTATTTTTTTCTCCCAGTCCCTGCTCAACCACCACATGACAGGTGGGATTCTTGGGGTGTCCTGTGCAGGGCCTTGATGATCCCAGTGGGTCCCATCCAGCTCAGGAGATTCTGTGGTTCTATGGGGAAGATTCCAGTCAGGAATGAACACTCTGTATCCATGGAAAGCAGAATTACTGTGGAGCTACTTAGTTTTGAGAGGAGTGAGCAGGATGGGAGTCCAGGAGAAAACAGATCATCAGACAAGGCTGAGATGTGAATCCCATGTTCACAAAGCAAATATCACCAGTGAGCACCCCAAGTGGAAGAGAGAAGGAAGGCATCAGCCTTGGGAAGAACCTCCTCAAAGGAAGGTAATGAAGAATTCCCAAGTCCCTCCTTCAGCAAAGGCAGGATTGGTGGGTTCTGACACACAAGGAGGGTGTCAGGAGGCAGCAGGAGGTGGTTTATTCTGGTTCCATGAGACATTTTTCTTCTGGGATGACTCCACTTGATGGTTCTCATCTGTCCTGGCACAGCCCCAAGCCCCACACACGTGCTTGGCTCATGTGCAGGGTTTCTATTGCATCAGCTGGTCAACCCCTTAATCCTGATTTGTTCACATTTTACAGGGACAAACATTTCAGTATTTAATTGACAACAACTCCGGCCTGGGAAAAGGATTAGACACAGGCTGTGGTCAGGGCTGGGGAGGCCAGTTCCTCAAGGGACCCTGGTGACACTCAAACACTGCTCAAGTGATGGTGACACTGAAGGGGAAGAGCTGCTTAAACAGGAAAAAATGAGCCTTTATAGCAGCACTATTTCTGTCCTTCCCTAAGATAGCGAGCTGGAAAAAAACAGAGCCTGAAAATATTTGGAGACGTGGTTCCCCATTCTCTTGCCCTACTCAGGGACAGCAAAGCTTCTCCTGTCCCAAATCACTGGTACAGTCAATGCAAGACCATCCAGATTCCTCAGGGAGAGCCCTGGGGAGGACACACACTCACCTGACCCAAGAGGCAACACCACAAACAGGACACTTCTCCATCTGTCCCAAGGGAGAAACTCCAGAACGGAAAAACTTCCTCCTTCATTTAAGGTCCTCAGTGGGAAGGAGAAACAGTTGATGGCTTTATTGACTTATCTTGAGGCACCACTTCCACAGAAGTAAGAGGTGCTGGATTGCAACCACCACCACCACCACAGGCTTTCATATAAATGATAATTTTATTGTAAATAAAACGATACATTGGCCTGGCTTTGCACTGCAAGCCCCCGGTCGGAATATAGAGACTACTGGGTCAAGGTCTTCTGCACAATCCAGGTTAAAGCCATTTCTCCCTTCTCTGCACTGTTTATGGCGAGGATAAAATCCTCTCCTTCACCTCTGAACTGCCCCTGGCACAGCTGCCTTTGCCAGCTGGGCAGTTCAGAGCTGCCCAGTGAGATCTGCTCCTAAACAAGGCTGGGTTTAAACACCTGAAGCCCAAACACCATTAAAACACAGAGGACATATCTTTTTTTTTTTCCCTGAAAATTAAAGCCTGACTGACTCCCAGCTCCAAGGGCAGGTGCCAAGGTGGCAGATCAACCCTCTCCATCCAGCTGCAGGTGAGCCCCAGTCCCTGGGATCTCACTCAGCTCCCCTTTGCCCACCCAAACCTACGTTTACAACAGGAATGTTGGTTTTTATGGGGCAAGTTATCCCAGCTCCGAGCTCTTGGAAATAACATGTGTCACCTGAGCAGGTACCAGTTTCCCTCCTGGGCAATTTGTGTTGGTAATTAATGGCAGCAGGAGCTGTTTGGAGCATCAAGTCCTTTGGAATATTACTCCAGAAATAAAGTAAATCCAAATTGCTGCAACCTACTGTCACTAGAATGGGCAAAGCTCAGATCTTCTGGAGAGCAAGCAAATAACCTGGAATGCACAGAATCGTCACACCAAGCCCAAAATGCCCCCAGTTTGTTTCCTAACAAACTCAGGGACAATCAAATCCCCCAAGTTCCTCTCTGATGGGAATCTCAGACATTTTTCTGCCCAGTTTCAACCGTTTCAGGATACTGGGACTCTGACAAATTCTTTGTCAAAGAGAATATCCTCCATTTCTGCAGCACCTTCCAAAAAGGATCCCAATACTCAATATTCCCTATATTCTCAATATTCCATCAAGGATCCTAATACTCAATATTCCCTCCCTGGAAGGAACAGCAGGAAACTCCACGTGACATTTGGACTGGACACAATAGCTTATTGTCAGCCTGGCACTCCTCCTCCACCCTCCCCTGAATGAGTTTATTCCCAGTTTTTCCTAATTCTGCCAGCATTAAGAGGCCAGATGTAATTCAATTTTGAGGCATAATTACATTCATGTCCACTTGAAACTCTTTTGCTGCCAGGGCTGTTAAGAGCCCACGGGATCAATATCAGCCCCAAGTTATTCACCGGAGCAGTGGACTCAGGAATCCAGATCTTCCTTTTCCAGAGGGCTGTGAGGAAACAAAGAAGCATTTTGGGCTTGGCTCTACTCGTTATAAACCATCAGCAAATTCTCTGCAAAACCAGCTGCTTTTTTTTCCTTTTTAAATTCATAAAGGCGTCAAATTTATTTCCCCTCCTCCTCCCGCCCCCTCCCCCCCCGTTAACAGTCGATATATATAAAAATCATCAAATATGATCTTTTACGATATAAATAAAAAAAAAAAAGTATGAGGCATCACTGTTTACATGATGTAAAAAGAGCTAAAAAAGAGCGATATAAACTACATTCATAAAAGTGCATCTCCAAACAGACAGGTAATGCTTTGGCTTGTTCCTGTGCCGAACGGGCGGCGCTGGGCCGGGGGCTGCAACACACAAGTCCAAGCTGGCACCCCATGTTCTCTGTCACTGTACAGCTATTTAATTCCATTACTACAGGCTGGAATACAGGTGGATACACAGAGTAGGCACATCTCAGCATAGGGAAGGGCCAGGATTGAGCCCATCAGTCCCTGGGGCTCTTTGCTCTGCTCTGGAACAGCCTCCCGTGACGCGGATGAGGTAAAAGCCACAACGGGTCCTGAGGATTGAGTTGCTTTGAAACGTTAAAAAGTGACACCATTTCCTCATGCCCTGTTCTCTCCCAGAACGCAGCGTGTGGGATAACAAGGAAAAATCACGGGAGAAGGTCTCAATTTGGTGAGGACAAGCCAAGGAGAGAGAGAAACCCCCACAGACGTCACCGTGCTCCCCATGGCTGCAGGGTGAAGGGTGGTGAGTAAAGATCCCAATCTTTGGTATGTTTAGGTGCTGGCTGCAAGGCCTGAGAGTGATGCTGGGCCCCTCAGGAGTGCTGATCCCCCTAATCCTGTCACCCAGACTCCAGGGGTGATCTCACATTCCCCAGCAAAGTGCTGTGAAAGGCTCCCCAACCCGAGCAGCAGCGTCACGCCCTCGCTTCCCCTCAGTGCAACAGTGAAGTGCAGGCCAGGACTCAGGCCAAGGGCCTTGGCAACCTGGAGTCAGGTTGCAGGCTGGGAAAAGATCAATAGAAGTGCTCTCACTAGAAGTAAATAAGTTATGGACCCAGGGCTTTCAGGAAAGGTATCTCCTAAGTGCCTGCAAGCAGAACAGTGCATCCTTGCCGCAGTGCGGGGGGAAACCAGCTCTCACTGGTCGTACATCACTCTGGGTTTGGCACAGGAAAAACACCTCAGATTGTTAAATCCTTTCAGGACTTTTGGTTGGTTGGGGGTTTTAGGGTTCTTTTTTCCCTTTTTTTTAAATTTAACACGGTATTTATCGTGTGTTCAAGGAGCCTGGTTTCATTAAAAGTTGTCTTATCCTGCCATCAGCATTCACTTAAAAATTTAATTTTACTGCATTATGAAGCAATTTTCAAGTTTTTATGGGGGAGAAGAGTGGAGGTGTGTGGAGCCTTAATATGGTTTCCAATACAAGAGCAGAACACCTTTAGTGTTGCCTTATAGAGTAACATTTTAGCTAATTAACATTTGCTTTTCTTAGTTTCATTTCTCAGAGATAACTTATAATTACTCCATGAATCCTCAGCACTTAAAAACTGATGGTCTTTTATGAGTGAAACACAGATTATTAGTGCCTAAACCAACACAGAGGGTCTGAGGCCACCAGGAACTCAAGTTCTCAGACTTGTGGTACCTTTCAAAAGCAAAATCACTTGGATATGTTTTGCTGGCACCTGTGTGGGGATCTCCAGGTAATTTTAGATATTTGCTACCATTTCAAATGTTCTCTCTGGTTCCTTGTTTGACTTAAGTCCTAAAAAGCTTATTTAAATTGGGCATTTTATGGAAGTCTTAAATAACCACTTGCTTACCTATAAAACAAACCACACTGAAGGGCTGAGTTCGATTCCAACTTCCTGTGCCCAAGGAAAACGAGTGTCCAGATAATTTTACCCATGAAAAACTTGATTTTCCATAAGCCAGGTGCTCAAAGAAATGCTGAAGGAAATTCCTGGGCACCAGATGGACTATCTTTGGTTTAAAGGATGGCAAAACGTTACCAGCCAAAAATGCAGCAGGATGCAGCAGGAAGTTGTTCTGCAGAACTCCCTCCCAGAGGGGTTTTGTTTGGACCCAGCAGCCCCAGAGAGGGAAGCAGGAGCACGGATTTGTTGGCTATGAGGACACAAAGTGACACTGCCTTAATGCTGGGGCAGATCAAACCTTGGAAATCAAGCTCTGGATTTTTCAACGTCAGTGGGAGAGTCCTTCCCTCAGGCCCTGGAGCGACTGCATTCTGCTGAAACTCTTCTGATTATCCTGACATTTGGCTAGAAAGACCTCCCTCACCCCCACCCCAAAATCCATGGGCTCATTATAAAATAACACTATTCACATACTTTTGAATCAATATTTTCTGAACACCTTCAGATGCTGAATACTTAAGAAGAAAAATATATCATACTATAGCGAGCGCATGCTCCATGACACATGGCTTCTTTGGGCTGGATTCAGGGACTGGAGATGCCTCTGGAGCCCCTGGTGGAAACCAGGCACCCACACAGACAGAGCTGGTCTGGAGGCTGTTGCATGTTTCTGTTCTGAAGAGTGGAGCTCTCCCAGTTCCCACCTGGCTTCAGATTTCTTCACGTTCAACCAGTGGATCCAACTTGTTGGATTCCCATTCCCGGGCCTGCAGAAAACATGCAGCCAGCTGCAAGGGCACATCCAGGTATCTCAGGGCAAAAATCCAGCCATTTGGCAGGATGAACATCAGTCCAGCAAACTAAGGAATCAGGCACGAGAGCAGACCCCAAGTTCCTTGGCATAACTCCCCCAAAGGACTAGGCCAGCTGAGTTGGCATTTTGAAGATGCAGCACCACAACGGGCAGTTGCAACGAGACCAGACGGGGCACGGAAAGCCCAGCAGGAGCTGCGAGCAAGGGAGGTAATTCAGTACTGGAGCTGTGCAAACTGGTGTCTGAGCAGCTCTTCAGCAGAGGGTCTGTGCCTGGCTTCCACAAAGATCTGCTTTAGGAAGTCCCGGCAATGTTCTGATATGTGGGAGGGGAGCTGGGGGTTGGTTGGCTGGGTGGCGATTTTGAAGATCGCGGCCATGGCTTCGTACTCTGCCCAGGGGGGCTTCTCTGTCAGCATTTCCACCACGGTGCAGCCCAGGCTCCTGGGAAAGCAGGCAGGAAAAACACAAGTGAGGATCGACTCAAGAAAGCACAGTGTTCAGGGAGAGCTTCCAAGCAGCCAACAGCAAGGTGCAGCTCTGGGAACGGCTCTAAAATGGATTTGTGCTCAGCAAACCCCACGTGTGCTCCAGCTCAGAGCCAGAGCTGCCAGCACTGCTGCTTTCCCTGCTGCCAGGAGAGCAGGGAAGTGCTGAGCCAGGGGGGCTGGGCCCACTGTGGCTCTGGGAAGTGCCATCTGTCCTGCTCCCCTTCTCCTCTCAGGAAACATTTGTGTTAACAGGGGACAGGACGCACCCGTGAGGTGTCCCTGAAGGCACCATCCGACCTCAGCTCTTCAGGTGCTGCTGCTACTGTTGTAACTCAAAGGCACTCACAGTCACAGGATGCCTTGGGTTGGAAGGGACCTTTGAGATCACCTTGTTCCAAGCCCTCGCCATGGGCAGGGACACCCTCCACTAGATCAGGTTGCTCAGGTGCTTGACTTGCTGAGTTGCAAGGTAGAAAACAGACTTTTTAACCAAGGTCCAGTGAATCAGAGCTCACTGACCCCACAAAGCCATTTCAGCAAAATCCCTTCTCAGTCACAACCTTGGAATGCCCACGTGGGGAAAAAAACCAACCTAATAACACCTCCACAAGAAACCAAGCATCACTCAAAAAATAATTAAAGTCGTAACAGCTCCAAACTGGGAAGGCAGTAAGTTAAATCCCAGTGGGACAGACGCATCATTACCTTAAGGAAGAATTCCTTGTAAAGTTAATGGGGCTCTGCAGGGTTCTTCAAGGCAAGAACATGATTCTGGGGACATGGCTGAGCCACCTTTCTGAGGCAAACGTGACACCAATACCTTCCCAGGGAAGATGGTTCTGCAGCACTGCAGTGATTGGGTTTTATTCCAAAAGGATTAATTGCTTCCTCCAGGCCATAGATTAAGCAAAAGCAGTCAGTGAACTTTTAATATCCAGTCCTGTGTTTTTATCACATCTTTCCATTAAGAAGGCAAAACTGCCTCCTCTACCTTTAAACTAAACCCTCTTTTGAGGTGAAAACCAAGGAAAAGACATTTTCAGAGGCAGACTTGCATCAGCTGCCAAGACAAGGAAGGAAAGGAATTAAATTCAGTGAATATGCAAGAACTGATTTCTTGACAAGATCTAAAATCCAACGTGAAAATTTTACAGTTTTCCAGCCATTTCAGACTTACTAGAGGAGAGTACAGAAAATGCAAACCATGTGTGCTGAAGTGCTGGGGGTTTGCTCAAAAGCAAGCAGGGATGTGTTATTGTTTAGACTGATTTATACCATTTAAGCAGATCCGGTTTCTTTAAGATATTCAGCAAACAGCAGGAATGTTTTTCATGTCAAGTCACTCCAGCAATAACAAATAGCTCACATATTCTGCTATTTAGGAAAAAGAAAACTGGAGAGGGGCCTGCAGCAGTGGCTCAGAGCCAGGTGGATGGATCTGTTACGTTTCTGAGCCCCTCGGCCGTACACATCCACCCTGGGACCAACTGCTCTGGAAAATTCTGACCCCCCTGAATAATGGTTGGGATTGTAGGAACTGGAGCCCAGCCAACGGCAGCGACTCTTTGATGGGAATGGACCAATGTCAGCAGCAAGAGGAAATCCACAACTGCATCAGCCCAGGGGGAAGGGCACGTGCTCCAATCTCTCCCCAAGCATCCCAACTGGGGGAGTCTGCAGAGCTTAACTCTTTCCACATGAGATATTTCAGCTGCATTTCCACTCCTTGCTTGTTCAGGGAACAGGCCTTTCTTTACTGTGGAGGCACAAACAGACCTTTTGTTGCTGTTGTTCAGTTTAGTTTTATAATCTCACCTTTTTAAGGCCTCCAAATTCAACATTTTGGCACAGGACCATTTTGCTCTTTTGATAGAGGCTGTTTCTTGGCTGTGCCAATAACAGCATAGCCACAGTTTCCATTCATGCAGATCATCTCTGATCTGACCTGGATCTTTTGTGTTATTCCAGGTTTGGGCATCTTTTCTTTTAAGCTCAAATTCTATTCATTTCCAGTATGTTTTAAGCATAACTCATTTTATAACTAAATGAGTGGGCTCTCCCTAAACAACCTTCAGTTGCTCTTCTAAGGGATATCACAGAATCTCCTACACTGGAAAAGACCCACAAGGATCATTAACCCAACTCCTGGCCCTGCACAAGACACCCCAAGAATCCCACCCAAGAGCATAAGAAGGATGACAACGTTGCACCAGTCAGAGAGCAAAAAACCAGCTACCAGTTCAAGGGAGGAATGAGTGGAAACTGTTCCTGAAAAACTAAAACTGTTCCTAAAAACTAAACGAGTAGCTGGGCGCTGACACTGCAAAGCACAGCCTGCAGCAGGCCATGCCTTGAGTTCAACCCAACGACTTCACTTTGCCTTCGACCTCTCATCCAGACAAAACGTGAGTTTGGATTTATGGATGGCAGGATGTATCTTGTCTGGCTCCAGACCGAGCGAGCTACGGGCAGAAAGTTAAAGGCTCACCAAACGTCCGCTTTCCTCCCGTAGCCTTCCCCGCTGATCACCTCGGGGCTCATCCAGTACGGAGTGCCCGTGACGGAGCGGATGCCGGTCCCAGACATACAGATTGTCTGCAGCCGTTTGCTGGCCCCAAAGTCCCCGAGCTTCACGTTCCCAGCAGAGTCACGGAGAATATTGGCTCCTGCACAAAAACAAAACCCGAGGACAGCTGTTTCCACGCGGTCCAGCTGTTGGATCCGCGGCTCCGGAGCCAATGGCCAACCCCAAACCCCCGTGCTCATGGTATGGCTCCTTCCCCATTAAGCCTCAGGTGACCTGCTAAACACCATTGCTTTGATTCAGGCTGTAGACAAGCCAATTGCTAATGGCTGTAAATGGGAAAAACTTCAGGGAAAAACACAAGGAAGTGAAGGGGGGAGGGAAATGAAAGCTGAGTCAGCACCAGCATTGTTACAGTGCCTGTAAACAGCTCAGCCAGCCTTGCAGGGCCCCCAGGCCACAGGCTGAGAGAACAGAGCTGTGGAGAGAAGGATTTTATTGGGATGCTGCTTTGGTGACTGCAAGCGTTGCTTTCTGGTCAGCTGGGTAACAGATGTAGCCAATTAAACCACTTTGAACTCCTACAATAAACAAGTCAGTCTTCACTTTACTTGGTCAGAGGTCCTGAACATGAAGCACCAGGGAAAAAAAGAAAACTTTAGAGCTTAGTTTGTATGTGGACACAAACTGAGGCTTAGACACCAAAACCAATTCTTCCTCCAAAGGTACTCTGAGATCAAGAACCCCATGTTGGCATTATCTGGAGTGTGCCTACACAAAACCCCCCTGCTCTCAAACCAGCACTTGTGCTGGGAGAGTTTTATCACTTCACTTGCCCACACAAAGAGCTGAGTCCAGAATGCCAAGTCTGTCCATTCATCCCTGAAGGAAAGGTTAACAGGCTGGCTCAGGTGGGTGCAAAGCAGTGAATAACCCACTAGGTAGGAGATAATTTGGCAAAGAGCCCCAAGTGAGCAGCCCACAAGGTGGCTCATTTCTTTTTGCCAGCTTAGAGGGGATGCAATGAAGATTTTTAGGCAGAAACAAGGGGGTAGTTTTCTTGCAGCCATCAACCCTCTTTGTCCCTCTAGGGCACAGAAAAGTCTGTGTGGTGTCTGCCACATCTGCTGACAGTAATTCCTAAGGAGACTGGCTGGCTCTATGGAGTTATACTGGGAAGAGGAAGATTAAGAACTAATTTGAGGCTCTATGTGGAAGATTGGAAGTTTCTCACATAGAGGAGGCAGGAGAGCCACAAGGGCCTGAGGTCAGCAGGACTGCCAGGAGCAGGCATGGAGCCCTTATGGCAACTGGAATGTCAGCCACCTGAGAAACAGCACTGTGGCCAAGCTGGGAGGAAATCAGAGAGGAATCAGTGAAAAGGATCAGTGAAAGTCAGGTGTCAACTCAGCTTGGCCTTGCCAGAGTGTGAGAGAAAGATGAGGAGCGTTCCTAAGAACTAGAGGCTTCCAGACTTCCTTACTATAACCAACTTCCTTCATGTCCTGTAGAGAGAACACCCCAACTTCCCTTCCCCAGCCAAGAACATGACCTTCCCTAAGTCCTGCACGTGGATATAAGACCAAAACGGGATAACTGAGCAAAGCAACGCTCAGAAGCCCCAGCCAGGATACTGAGTTCTTAACACCTGGTCTCTTTACAGAGTTTCTTTGGCACGTGGTACATCTAAACCAGCAGCTGATCTCACCCTTTATGTCCCTGTGCACAATCATGTTGCTGTGAAGGTACGAGACTCCCTCGAGGATCTGCCGAGTGTATTTCCGGGTGACGTTTTCCGTGAGGGCCCCGTACGCCTTCAGCTGGTCCTTCACCGACCCCTGCCCCAACAGCAAACACAACACGTTGGCAAAGAAATGACAGACCACAGACCCTGCAGCCTCCACTCAATCCCCACGAGCCATGACTGTGTTATACACCCAACCAGCCCAGTAATGAATTCTGGCCTCTTCTAAAGCCTTCCCACGAGGCTCTGTGAGCATCTTGCCCTAAGGAGCCCTTTTGAAGAACGGCAAGGACAGGCTTCATGGCAAAAATAGCTTAAGGAGGTTCTGTCTGCTTCCTCCCTGCTGGTACAACTGGTTGTGAAGACAAGCAATAAAACAGTTCAGCAGACTGATCCAGGTCAAAAGTCTCCCTTTTTGCAGGGTCAGTTTTAGCCTCATTTGCTGGATCATGACTGTAATTCAGTTGTTATGATTTACAAGCTGGTCCAAGTCCTCTAAAGTACTTTGGTAGGACAAATTTAGACTGAACAAAAGAACTGGCTTTAGTGACTAATAAAGAGAATGTATTTCAAGTACAAGACACTGAAGGAAAAAACCCAAAGAGGTTACTTGGACATAAATAAAATTAAAGTGGTAGCTTTATAACCCAGGATGAGAAGGGGCAGCCTTAAGAGGGTCTAAGGTGGATGACACAGTCAGGGGGATCACAGCAACTAATAAACCAACTACCAAACCCACAGATCTCCCTTTGTGATCCATGACTGTGCTGCTTGGGCCAGCTCTTACCCCTGGCATGTACTCCATGAAGATGGTCAAGGTCTTCTCTGCCCGATCCCGTAAGCAGCCGTAATATTGGACAATACGCTCGTGCTGGAGGTTCTTCAGCAGCTGAATTTCACACTCCAGGGCACTCACTTCCTATGGATGTTGAAGGAGAAAATAAGGCTGCAGCCCCAGGAAATAGTCCATCCTAATAAATTTGTCATGTCACTGGCAGGATGAAACTACTACTGCACTGAAAAGTCTAATCCATGGCTTTGGAAAAGGCAAACACTACCAGTGCCTCACATAAATCCTTGCTGTGTAATCAGCAGGCAAGTATTGGTGTGGGAGCTTTGATGGAAAAAAGGCAGTATCATATATGGATTTAGTACCAGAAAAACTTTGTTTCTTGTCTTGATTTTCTTCACTCACAACACAGGTATAACCTCATTTCTTATACTGAGCTGAGGGCAGGGAGTGTTAATTATTAAACAGCTCTGACTACAGCTACAGAACTGCCAGGAATCCCCCTGTAGGAATCTCAGCTCTTTAGAGAGCAAAACCAGAGGTGCTGAGAGTTCCTAAACTTCTGTCACTCAGTCCTGCCCTGATTCACACTGATGATTTTACTGGAATCAACCTTACAAAAGGTCTCCTCTCTCATTTACTTCAAGGAACCTGCAGCTCTGTACATCAAATTGATTCTTTGCTTTGCTCTTGCCACAGACAACAGGGTATCACAGCACAAAGGCAAGGAGGCTCTCCAGCAATTTCAGATGGAATCACAGATGTTTGTTGCCCAGGAAAAGTATCCAGTTCTTGCTGAATCCAGGGAATGAACAGGAGGTACATCAAATGTACTGAAGCAAGAGAATTTATGGAAACAATGGTTTCCCCCAAATTAGTCCCACTTAACTCTCTCCAGCCCTGCCACTGGAAGGTGTCAGGTTCAGCTCTCTCACTCTGGGAGAGGATGCAGCTCCTCAGAGCAAGGACCTGGATGCTGTAGGGACACATGGAACCACAGGAAGCTGCTTGATCAGGCCAAGTGATAATTTAAGGTTTGGGGTTTCAGTGCCTGCAAGATATTTTCCAGCCTATTCCTCTTTGGCTCAGAGTTACTGTCTGATTTACAGCAGAGACATGGTAAAACTGAGAACTTCCCAATTTAAGACTTATCTTGGCACCAATATCCCATATAAAATCAGAATAATTAAATCTTCACGGATCAGTTATTCCAGCTCAAAGTGAACTTGTTCAATACTGGGATACTGGTACATTGTTAAAACACAAGCAGAGAACCCAACAGCCATTCCAGCTGCACCCTCTGTGCAGGGAGTTGTGTGCTATCCCTTAAGTTCAAGGTGACCCTTCCCATCTCCACTGTTTCTAATGTGTTGTCACATCCCTCTTCTTGATTAATTTACACACCACAGCTCAATTTGTTTTAAGGACAGAGAGAATTCAGAAGTGAAAACTGGTAATTAACACACTTGATACAGGGTGTACCATATAAACCCAGAAGTGGGTTTTGCAAGTGCAAGCAGCTTTTTTTGTTCAAAAAAGAAAAAAAAACTCCTACTCTTTCTGGCTTTAGTTTCATTCACATCCATGTCTAACCAGGAACACAGGGCAGTCTAGTATTCCTCATGTAACCTGGCAACAAACCAGAAAGCTGAGAAGGGAGAGCCAAAAATGAAGCCAGAAAATGGATTTTAGTTTCAGGCTGAAGTTAATAATACAAAAAAGTAATTTTTAAATGGCTCCTATTCTTCTCCACATGACTCGAAACCCTAGTAGGAACTAAATATAAGGTGCCAGCTTTTAAGGACAGACAGATAGAGGCATTTTGCAGGATGTGGCAGGATTTTAGAAGCTGGGATGAGGATTACCTTGCTGGTTTCAGGGCTCTCTGGATCAAACTGGACCTGTTTGGCTGCAAGTTCCCTGCCCGTGTCCACGTCGTAGCACAAGTACACGCGGCCGAAGGCGCCCTGGCCCAGCAGTTTCCCTCGTCGCCAGTTTATTGGAGCACTTGGAGCTAAAAGACAACAGTAATAATTCCTCATTTCACTACACTATTTAAAAGCCATGGTTGTCTTTTCAAGGACCCATCTCCATCACACTGGGATTGACCCAGGTGTTTTGCAGCTGAACAAACACGAGGCGCTCTCCCGGCGTAAGGGAGTCAGTGGCAGAGCTCTGACTGGAATCCAACCATCTCAGGACCTGCTGACTGGTGTCCCATTAAAATGAAACCACAAAACATCCTGTAGATATGTACTGCAGAAAAGTTATTTGATGGGGTTGATGAAATTTCATTCTGCCAGCAGGTGGATTCCACAAACCCAGTACTTTAAGAGATGGTGTAGCACTTAAAGAGCATCTTCCAATCCCTGACCTGGAGTTATCAGAGGCATCAGGTGAGGAAGAGCTGGATCAGCCTTGCTAAATCAATTCCACCCAGCTGGGAATGACTTAAACTGCTGGGACAACTTGAAGGACATTATTCTGAGGTCTTTGTCAAGGTAGCTCAAGGTTCCTTCTCCTGTGGGATTTCACTGCAAAGCTCTCTCTACAGCAGAAAAATTAAAGTCATAATTCCCTGCTAGACAGTGATAAAGTGGGGGCTGTAAGGTTAGCATAGTCTGTGCACCTTCTTCAGCTGCTCAACAACCAGATTCCAATAAAAATATATACTAGACCCAGCTAAAGCAGCCACCTCCAGCACCCCAGCAGGAGGTTACATCCACAGGGAATTAGGAGTCCTCACATTCCACAGGCAGCAGTCTCCTGAGCCCAGTTTTCCAGACTGCTCTAAATCCCAAAGCATATCACTCAAAACCCCAGTGCTTCAGCTCCAACTCTGAAAGCAACACTATCAGTCTCCTGCAGTGCAATGCATCCAATTATGTTGTATCTAACAAGAAACTCTAAAAACAAAGACAGGAACCAGCCATCTGGACAGTGTGAAAATGTAGAAGAGCTGAGAGATTAGCTTTGCCATGTCTAATTTAATCAGATTTACTGCCAGTCAGTATTTCAGTGTTGCAAGCTTACTCTTCATTTTGATCCCTAAATTACTGTATGGGATATCTGAAGTTCATCAGTAATGACTTATGTTCCATTTCTTTTTTTATAATAGCAAGTTGTCCAAAAAACCAACTCAGGGATTCTATTACAACAGAAGTAAATCTTCCTACTTAAGAGCAAGTGAAATATATACAGCTCTCAACTGGTAAAATAAATGTAACCCATATGCCTGACTACAAATGTTAATGTATCAAGAAAATAAACAAGCCTGTCTGACTGTTTTAAGAGCCCTGAAAAGATTCAATGAAGTATTTTTTTTTTTACTTCTTAGCTGAATTTCTGAGGCTTTCTAAAGGAAAAACCAGCTCACAGTGGAGAAAAAAAAAAGAGAGAGAAGAAAAAGAAGACGTGTCTTGTAGGTGAGACAAGCTGGCCTCAAAACACAGCCGGGTGATGATGTGGTTCTAATGGCTTGTTAAAACCAAGTTATATGTTGGGTCTGGAGCTTCCAGCTGGGGTCAGGGAGTGAATCATAGAATAGATTGGGTTGGAAAAGACCTCCAAGATCATCAAGTCCAACCCCTGATCCAACTCCAATTACTATATCATGGCACTAAGGGCCACGTCCAATCTCTTTTTAAAACCCCCCAGGGATGGTGAATCCATCACCTCTCTGGGTAGGCCGTTCCAATGCCTGATAACCCTCTCTGTAAAGAATTTCTTCCTAACATCTAACCTAAACCTCCCCTGGCAGAGCTTGAGCCCATGTCACCTTGTCCTATTGTTGGTTGCCTGGGAGAAGAGACCAACCCCCGCCTGGCTATAACCTCCCTTCAGGGAGTTGAAGAGAGTGATGAGGTTGCCTCTAAGCCTTCTCTTCTCCAGACTAAACAACCCCAGCTCCCTCAGCCTCTCCTCATAGGACTTGTGCTCAAGTCCCTTCACCAGCCTCGTTGCTCTTCTCTGGACCCGCTCCAGCCCCTCAGTTTTTTCAATTCCTGAAGAAAGTGCTCACATTTGGTGGGGATGTTCCTCTCCTGCACGCCCAGGGCGTTCTCGCTGTCGGCGCTGCGCAGGCGGCCCCGCGGGTCCAGGTACTGCAGGGCCAGGCCCAGGTTCTCCCCGTTGGTGCTCAGGGAACGGCTGGAAGGGACCAAGGTGAAAAGATTCCCTTGGTGACGCCGTATCCTGGGAAACGTCCTCCGGCCTGGGGGGGGAACGGGAAACATTTTAAATCGGTGCTTGCAAGTGGAAGGTGATGGAGAAGAAGGGAGAGGAAAACCATGTTCTGCTCTGTTCCCACGGAGCAGAAGCTGCTGCCAAACAGACGAGATGCAAAAATATAACAGTTCAGGGCTGGTGCTGCCTGAGCTCAGTACAGCTCTGGATCACTCCCAGAGCAGAAGGCAGAGAAGACTTAGTAATGCCCTCAAGTGCTGTGGTGCAAGATCTAAACTTGCCTCCCAAACCAAAACTCTGGTTTACAGGCTACCACGCAAGCTCTGAGGCTGGTTAACGACGCCTCCCAGAATGACTTTCTAGATAACGTGCCTGGACTTGGAAATAAAAACCATAAACAGATTATGGTGACTTGCACCTCATGAAATTTTGAGAGGTTAATTTGCATAAGGCCATGTGAGGAGCAGAGATGTAAGTCTTTAAGTCCCTGCTACATTTAAAAGACCCAGAAACAAGTCTGCATTGTGAATTAGCAAAGCATAATGAATCCCTGAGGTAGGAACCTGCTATATATGGCCAAGGCTAATAACTCTGTCCACTGCCCAAGCCCAGCAGTCCCTGATCAGCCTGGATATTCCCAGAAAGCACAAAGTAAACAAAGAATTACAAAGTAAACCAAGAATTACAAACAACCATAGAGTGTTTCCATGAAAACGAGGCATCACGCACAGTACCACCAACTCCAGCACTCACTGCAAGGCCCAGGGCACTTCCAGGCTCTTCAGCTGGGAATTACACTCATTCCTAGAGGTTGCCATTGCTTCACCTTGTTTTTCCAGCCTGGAATGGAAGGTCCTAGAACAACTCACCATCGTTGTAGTCCTTGTGCTGCATGGAGACGTTGTAGCGCCGAGGGTACGTCCCACCTTTCCCTGCTTTGTCGTAGATCTGATTCTCCCGGTCTGGAGGGAGATGCAAAGACAGGAGTGAGGCCTCCTTCAAAAAGTGTAACTTATAATGACAAAACTTCCCTGTAGCAGCAGGGTTTTAGGAAGAGGTAACAAATAACTTCATAGCTTTTCAGTCAACACAACCCCAGTTGTTCTATTCATACAATGCCAGCAACCTTTGCAGCAGTGACATACCTGAGAACTCCTGTCTATTATCAGGGAAGCTTTGTGCCCTTGACATCCGTGACTTCCGAAAAGAAGGACTAGCAAAGAAAGAAGGCAAGAATAAGTTTTGCTGCCCACCAGAGCAAAACCTACACGGGCTTTAAAAATACGAGTGAATACATTTTGCAGGTTGGAAATGGTGACTCTCAAATCCACGTCCCTGCAATGATTTTATGCTCCATCCATCTGCAAAGTTAAAGCCAGGCTAAGCCCCAGCTAACCAGACTGTTTCCCAGTGTGGGCTGTCAGCTTTTCTGTTCACTTTGAGCCATTTATTCAGTGTTTCCCCAGCCTGTGGTATAAGATTCAGTGGCTCCTTCAGACATGGGAAGTGGAAGGCTAAAACCAAGGCTGAGAGGAAGAGCAGAACAGAGCAGCACTTGCAGCACACTGTTTACAGGGCAGCAGAGATTTACCACGAGGGACAAGAGTTCCTCTCATGAAAACTTGGGTGCACTTTCCTCTCTCCAGCAGCACAAGAGCCTGAACACCAACACTGCTTCCAACCCCTGTGTCTCTCCCCAGTAAGCAGTGCTCCTCCAGCAAGCCTAAGTAAGGCCCCTGGCTTGGCACAAGGTCTTTCACACCTCAAGAGATTACACAAACTCAACCTGTGCCCTTTAAAGCCATGCTACTGATACTTGTTTTGTTAACCAGTGTAAATGGCACTGCCTCACAGAGCTTTCAGACTCCCAAACGAGACTCCTTCCCCACTGCACAAACAACAGCTTCCCCAGATGATGCCACTCCAGCAACAAATCACCAGGAAAGCTTTTTATTGCTTCCCCTTCTTCACTTAAGGCAGAGAAAGGGGAGAGGAGGACAGGTAACAAATCAGCAATGTCCCCTCAACAAATGAATCCATGCACACACCCAGTTAACTGCAAGTGTTTCCTTGTGACTCCATAAACTGGAGGAAGTGAATGGCTTCAAATCCAAACCTCAAGTGCTTGACATAAAAGCACACACTACCTACAGGAATCAGCTTGGAGGAATCCTAAAAACGTGCTGAAGTCCAGTATTACAGGTGCTGGGAAGCCACAGTTGCTATTCAAGTTAATAGAACCTCTGGCTGCCCATCAGCACCTCAAGCAACACCAACAGCAAAAAAAAAGGGAAGAAAAAGACCCAGAGCATCAACCTATGACAAACTCAAGCCTCCCTATTTACCTCTGGAATTAATTTTGTATCTTGCAGGACATAGCAAGCTGGTGCAATGATCTATTTCTGTAACCTTAGAATAGTTTGGGGTATTTTTTTGTCATTTTATTTTTTAAGTGAACAAGTAAAGCCTTGTCTAGAAGAGGTTTAAATCCCCTGCAGCCAGATGTTCTCAGAGCATTGGCTCCACACAGACTGCTCACTTTAGAACTCTGTATTTAAAACCTAAAGCCACTGAAGCACCAGTTTTGTTGGTCTATGGTTTTGCCAGAAAATAAAACAGCCTTAAGACACAGTTAATTCTCTTTAAGAAATATATTGGGATATAGGTAGGAAATAAGTTCTTCTTTCTCTCCAAGAAAATTTATGAGATGGAAAACAGACTTTTGCCTGAGTACCACTGGCATTTCAATCTGAGCACACACATTCCTACCAGTTTGTACATTTGTACCTGTCTGCTGACCTGTCCAAGGACTGGCAGCTTCCTGACACCGAGTTTTCAGCACTGCTTAGAGGGTCCAGCATCTGCAACACAGAAGAAATCACAAGACAACATCAGTGCAGTCCAGTGCTCAGGAGAGGCTCAGAGCAAGAGGATCAGAGCCCACTACTGCTTGTCTGGAGCAAGTCCAGCTGAGGAAGGGAGTCTAAGCCTTTTTTAAATGCACATTTTTCCCTTATCTCCCACAGAAATTGAGTTCATATCAAATCTGAGACACTGCTTTAGGTGTTGGAAGGACTCTGCTGTGGAAAATGGAAGTTTCAGTCAGCCTTGTGCTGCATTTTGATCCCAACTGCCTCCAGGAATAGTCTCTGCTGGTGCTGCTGCATTGCTGCCTCCACCTGCAAGTTGCCCTTTGGCCTCACTTCCTACTTTTTTGAATGGAGAGCAGAGTTTCAAAAGCAAGAGGGTCACCCAAACCTGGCACTAGGAAACCTGAGCACACATGTGTGACAGCCCCAAAACTGCTCAGTCAGTGGAGAGGCAATCCCAGCACACACAGCAACTGCTTCTGGCAACCCAAAGGCTTTGAACTTACACAGCTGCAACTGGAAGCAGTTTAAATGCACAAAGCAGCACTTTTAGAATCCCAGAACGGTTTGGGTTGGAAAGGACCTCTGAGATCACCCACTTCCACCCCCTGCCATGGGCAGGGACACCTTCCACTAGATCAGGTTGCTCAGAGCTCCATCCAACCTGGATTTGAACACTTCCAGGGATGGGGCAGCCACAACCTTCTGGGCAATTTGTTCCAGTGTCCTCACGGTGCTCATGCAACCACAGCTGAGAGTGAAAAGGAGGGCCCAGACCCCAGCAGAGTTCCTGAACAAGCTGGAGGTGCTTTTTCCCACCCTCCTGCTCATACTCACACACTGTTCATTGGTCTCTGGGATGAATTCCCCCTCGCTGTTGATGCTGGTGTAGGATCCCTGGCGGGCGATGCGCTGCTGCCTCTCCGGAACGTACCCCGGAGGGGGGGAACTCCTCCCTGTGTTCTGGGAGCCTGGGCCAGGGAAAAGGACATTTCTTAGATTTATGCTGCTGGAATGAGACTGTACGTGCATGGACACAAAATCTAAGTATCTCCTCTAACACCAGGCCTCCACCTCCATGAGCACAGCAGCTCTGGAGTGATCCTGACAGCCTGGACAGACATGGAACCAGGAGGGGTCATGTCAAAAACCAAACTGTTTGATGAGCACCTGTAGTGACATTTTAGACACCACATGGTTACTGGTGAAGCTCCTAACACAGCTTCTGCTCTTCCCAACCTCTCCTGCTCGACTTTCTGAGCATAATTTCAGTACCTCAGGGAAGGCAGAGGATTCCAGGAATCCCTGGCTTTTGAGCATGAACCTCATTGCCAACCTCCACTAAACAAAGCACTTGTCAGGGCAACCCATCTTCTGTCTTTATTCTAAGTTTGCATCAGTTAGTACAATTTATCCTGAGTGACAGCACATTCCTGCTAGTCAGCATCAGCTGAGCAAGTTACAGTGACTCTGAGCAATTCCAGTGTCACATGGGAGCACTGTCACCTTTGGAAATAACCCCAACATTTCTGGTTTGCTGCGTGAAAAATCAAACTGTGTGGTCAGTTTGGGCAAAACCACATGGAGGTCAACTCTGCAATTCCTGTTAATTGGATAACTGGATGGACAGAGAGTGTGTTTAGGGGCCAAAGGATGAGAAAAATAGTTTAATCATCTATTAATGGCACTACCTAAAGTGTTTCTGTTGTGCTACCTACCGAGAGAAACTTTAGCCCTAGGATTTATTTTTCCTTGCAGATCTCAAAGAAGATGAAACTTTAGACACAGGAAGAAACAAACCCCCTTTTTGCAGTGACTTATCCACCTGCAGCTCCCACTGTGAGCTCCTGGAACTGCTGTGGTCCAGTCAATCTACTTGAGGTCACCCATGAAGTCAGGAAGAGCAGCTGAGGATCAGCTCTCAAGCTGTGCTTTTTACAACACTGTCTTTAATTAACTGTGTGTACTCAGGTGCTGTGAAAGATGGGTAAAGATCAGCAAATATTCTCCCAAGGAAAATATTTTCTACTGAAGTTGTTGTAATAAAGAGTGAAGGCAAACGCTGGCAGAAGAGGACTGGAAAGCAGAGCACACACTTTTCAGAGGGCTGAAAAGCAGAGAACACACCTCTGAAAGGGATGAAAAGCAGAGAACACACCTCTGAAAGGGATGAAAAGCAGAGCACACACCTTTGAGAGGGCTGAAAAGCAGAAAACACACATTTGAAAGGGCTGAAAAGCAGAGAACACAATTTTGAGAGGGCTGAAAAGCAGAGAACACCTTTGAGACGGCTGAAAAGCACCTCTGAGAGGGATAAAAAGCAGAGAACACCTTTGAGAGGACTGCACAAAGAAAAACAATGCTGGCATGACTTAGGAGTCCATGGAGGGTGAACCACGTGAAAAAAAGGGATTAACAGAATCATGGAACCATTAAGGCTGGAGAAGACCTCCGAGACCACCCGAGATCACCGAGTCCCCAACGTGCTGCTCAGAGCTGCCAGCCCATTTCCCCAGCAGCTCCAGGGGGCTCCTGTGAGGTTCAGAGCCCAGTGGTGTGGAGACAAACCCGGGAGCTGCCGTGGGGCTGCCCCGAGGCCCGGGAGCACTTTCACTCCTTCCGCCACAACCCAGGGCTGGCCCGGAGCGAGCCCAGGCCCTGCTGGCACCGGCCCAGCCGCTCTTGTGGAAAGGCCCCCAGCCCTGGGCAGGAAAAGGAAGTCGGCACTAAATCCATGTATATCAAAGGAAGTGAGTGGAAAAAACACAAGTGCTGCCAGAATGCTTAGCAACTTTTTTTTTTTTCTTCCCCCCCTCCTCTTTTAAATAAAAGTTATCTTTACTTCCAAACCTCTGAACTGGTGACAGCAGGCTCGAGGCCCGTCCACTCTGGAGGACAGGAACTACATGGATCTCTGCAAAAAGCTTGTGTTGAGCACTGCTTTGGACTTTCATTGCATCATGTGGTGAGATTAGGAGAGTTTCTATGCCTGAAACACCGGGAAACAGAGCCCATTCCTTTTCCAAATCAAAGATGGGGAAAGAGAAGTAAGAAGAAATCGATGCAAGACTGAGCTGTTGCCAAATTCCCAGCAGACCTCTGACAGAACTGGAACTCTTCATAAGGAACAGTCTGGTACTTTGACATGTTCAGAAAACAAAACTAATGGTTTCTTGAGTGATGAATGACAGAGAGCATCCACAAGCTGGGATGAGAGGAGAGAGTCTGTACAACCGGGACACAGAAGGGGCCCCTTGTTACTACACAGTTTACCCATGACAGACACTCACTGGAGTCTGTTGGCTTTGGCACCATTATCTGGATACCTCAGAACGCCAGTAAAGGAGAAATATATATATATTAATTGGTTTTGGCATTGAAATTGTCTGTGAAAAAAGAAATGTGGTGTTCAGACGTGCATGGACATCACTGCCTTCTTCACAGGACCAAGGAATGTTGCTCTTTTTTATGCACATTCACTTCAAACTAGGAAGGATGGGAAAACTCTTTTTGTCCTCGTTTCAGTCACGTACTTCACAAGCTTTCAGCACTTCTTTGTTTGTTTGCTGCTTCAGAGAAGCAAACTGTACAAAAGGGGATGAGCAGACTCCTGACAGGACACAGGCAGGTTTGTTAGACAAGCTGCACACTGAGAACTACTGGTCTAGTTCTCAAGTCCTTCCCTCTGAGCTCACTCTCCCAGTCACCTCTGGTCACAACAGAGGGGATCTGACTCTGGTTTAAACCCCCCCAACATGGAGACTTTTCTAGTTTAATCATATTTATTACTTTACACTTACATTGCATTGCAAATACTGATCTAAAACCCTGTAAAAATTATGGTTAAAGTTTACAGAGTTAACAAAACTGAAGCAGTCCTTTACCATGGAGAAGAACTAGCCAATAAAACAAGTCTGCCGTTCCCAGCTCCTGATACTCCCACTGTGACTTGCATCACCTGTCCTCTGAAGCATTAGATATGACAAGCCCCAAAACAGCTGTTGGAACAAACAAAATCATCCTCTGCTTCTCTTTCCAGCAAAATTTACCTTTTCTCACTTGTAAAGCAGCAGCAGCTTACACAGAACACCATCTTCATGCTCTCTCACCTTCCTCCTGCTCCTTCACTGCTCACTGGCCTCCACACCAAGGAGTGAAATCCTAAATCACAGACTTTTCTTTTTTTGGACCCATGTATCTTTGAAGCTGTTTCAGATGTTTTAGTTTTTGATATAAAAAGTTAACAGTTTTGAGCATCCTTCAAGCACAGGTTTGAATAGTGCTGCACAGTTATAAAGAGGGTTTTAACACAGAAATTGGGAAGAATCAGACAAATCTACCAGAGACAGAAGTAAAAATTACAGGAGTCTTACATGGACCTTTCCACTAAACAGCAGTTCACTCAGCTAAGAGAAACCCAAGGGAAATGAGACAAAGCTACATAATACTCTGACTTTTCTTACTATCTTTTGTGTACCTCTGCTGTTCACCTTGTGCCCTACCCATCTGGTAATTCCAGGAGTGAAAGGTTAGGGAACTCAGTATGTAGGACACTGGTTGGACATGCAGGAGTAATTCCTTGATTCCAAGTAAAATGCTTGATTACAGGAGTCAGGAGAGATTCCAAAGCCCGACATAAAAAACCCTCATATCAAGGTTTCATGAACTGAAATTGCCAACATAAATAAAAACCTTCATGGACTCACATCAGCTTTCCAAATTTCTAACCACAATGGATCTGGCTTTAGGACACCCCCTTTAGCAGCTCCTCAGCTGTTCAACAACTTAGCAAGGAACTGAAACATTCTACTGTAAACATATGAAGAGCTTTTGAAAATGAACTGCCCTGTCCTAGAATAACCTTTCGATTTCTCCCAGCTCTCATAAATGCCATGCCATAAACATTAGTGCCCAAATGACACATTTCACCAAACAAAACCATGCAGAAGTGGCAAAAATACTCACTGACAGACAGATGCCTACTTCTGGGTTCTGGCTGCTGGTAGGGTGTGCTCACATCCCCCACAGACTGGGAAGTTTTAATCCTGACTTGTTTGGGCAGTCCAGAATGGGGTGAAGAACTGGTCTGTTGGGTAAAATGAAAAGAATAAAATAAAATGAGACTGAGGAGCTCAAGCAGCCTGGCCACAGTCCCAAAAATATCATTATGTTTAGTAGAAAGAAAGAAGCTGAGCAACAGTTCTAGAGCCTGAAATCTTATTAACTGCAGAAAACACAAAGGCAGCCAAAGAGCAAGGTTTATAATTCTGGTGTCACAGAGGAGTCCAACAACTAGAGCAAGGCACTGTCCAGCCTCAAGGGCAGGATTTGGAAGTCTCAGTGTCTGCCTGCCATTAACAGGTACCTGTGGGACACACAGAGGGCTCATATCACCCCCAGACACCAGAACACAGAAGAACCTACAATTTCCATCAGCCACCTTTGCCAGCAGAGAGAAATTCTGAATCTTGCACTCTTTCAGAAGCAACCTGACTCCCCACAACCTTCACAATTCAGACCATCTAAGTGACAATAAATTCAGGAGACTTGAGAAAACCAAGAGTTTGGAGACGCCAAGATGAATTTATTCATCTTTCCATGAAATTCCATAGATACTATCTAATTAATGATCATTTTTCCACAGTGCCTTCATCTCATTCAAAGTAGGAAGAGGAACGAGACACATCAAACCTCCCCCAGCCAAGGAGATCCTGTGTCAAAGCAGGGGCTCAATACCTGGAGACACTTTCAATTTTAATCTTGACCCAACACACCTAGTTTTAGAAAAGGATATAATATTCTCTTCCTCTTGTGTTCCAGAATTCATCTTCCCTTATTTAATTGAGATGAACAGAACCAAAGACACCCCGAGGAAATTAATTCTGGCCTGTGAAAATTATTTGAACATGACTTGGTCAAACAAGGTGTGAGGTCATACAATCCAAAATTAAAGTACTGAATAGCTGCTCATTTAATAAGGACATCCACTTGCATGGAGCAAGGATTTAAATCACATAAACTCCACCATGAATAGGTTCATGGGAGCTGAATAAAGGGTGCAGAGGTCACCCCACTGATGTGGACAGTTTGGCTTTAGGTGTTAAATTTTTCCAGTTTTCCCCATTACATTCCAAACAGAAGGAAAGGACTGACAACAGGAGTGAGCTGCTTGATGAAAAAAATCACAAATGAGCCACAGAAAGAGGCACAAGAAAATTAATCTGCACACTGCTGACAAACAGCACAGCTCTTGGTACCAGTGACACAGCTACTGCTGCAAAGTTAATTTGCTTTCTGGACAGATTTGTGCCAAAGTCACAGTGTTACCTTTCCATCCCCAGAAAAAGAAAAGAGCACAACCAAAACAAAATCTGCATCCTGTACTTCAGGAAAAATAATGCTTCCCGCTCCCTCAGTGGGATGAGATCATGCAGCCAAGAAACCTCCTCCAGCCTTGTGGGCTCTATCCCACGTAGGGCTCTCCTGTCAGGCAACTCTGAGCTGCAGAGGAAGTCAGAGGAGAGGGGGGGGAAACAGTGGCACTTACTGAAAGCTTTGCTTTTTGTTTCTGCTTTGAGCAAAAGAGGAAAAAACAGCTAATAAAAGGACAACACCACAGGAGTGGCTGCTGGCTGGTGTAGGATGGGATTTACTAAGTGGGTTATGCAAAGGTAGGTGGTATCATTTAACAGCTGGTTTGCAGCCTCAAGGCACTGACAGAGGGCTGGAAAAGAGGATTGTGTGACTGTGTTATACCAAAAGCTGAGGCCACCTTTTACAGGCTGTTTCCTGACACCACAGAACGAAGTCTGACTCCACCAGGTCAGATCAAAGGCCTTCTTGCCAAGTATTGTCTTCAGAACAGGCAGCAATAAATGCTCAGGGAAAGGGCACAGGACAAGGAACAGCATCATCCCCTCCTACACCTTCCCAGCTTTTGGCACCCAGTCCTTTGGGAAAGGGCTGTTAACACTCCTGAAGGTCTCTGTATTTCCATTAACATGGATTATCAAATTAAAAAAATAGTGGGAAGTGTATTTAAGTCCTCCTGACAGTTCCAAGAATTATAGGTGTGATTATTTCAAGTCAGAGCTCCCTGCAGAACTTGAATAGGGATGAACATCTGAGATCGACAAGCTGTTCCCAACAGAGCAGCTTTTTGTGTCACACTCTTCAGAGAATTTGGTAATTTGCAAATCAAATATCTAAGCTATCAAGGTTTTTTGGCTTGAAAAGCTGCATGACCTTAATTCTGAAAAAGAAAAAAATGAGATATTGGATGAGGGAACCGTTTTCCAGTCCCAGATCAGGAACAAGGAAAACTTCAGGCTCTTTTTGCACTCCTCATCTTGCAGATAAATTCACTGTCCAAAATGGGCATCTTTGGGAGCTTGGTTTAAAGATTTACTTCTCATGATATAATATTTTCTGCTGAAAAAAGCAAACTACACTGACACTCACTGCCACAGCCACCTGTGGTACAGGAGAGTGAACCAAGACAACCAAACTCATCTTGGGTGTGAATACATCATTATTAGCTAAAGGCAACTTAGTTTCCATAGAGTAAGGCTGGATTTAAGGCATTAGGCTTAATGAAAAATCCCTGGGAGCTGCCCCAGGCTTCTCACCTAGGGAAGAAGTGTTAAAGGCTTGTCTTCAAGGACAACCTGTGCTCTGAAAGGCAAAATAATTACACACACTTTCAACACTGTGCTCTTAATCAAAGGTGAAAGATTTCTCTGCAAACCAAACTCTTTCAGTGTTTTCTGACTACAGGTACTTGCTCTAAAATGGCTTTCATGTAACAGCTTAAAAAGCTGCAATGTTTTTAGTCCCTGAACAGCTGCTGAAGTCAGGAAGGAGAAAACCAACAAAAAGATACCTATAATAGCTGAGCCAAAGCAAAGAGGATAAGCACATGCATTTGTGTCTGTGAAGAGTGATTTTGCTAATCCCTGTTACTGCCATTGTGTTTCAGAGAGTTAAGGGTAAAAAACCTTCATTTTGCTGCAGTCACAGAGGTTGGTACCTACATGGTTTCTGTCCTGGGACAGCAATAATATTCTAAGGCTTTTCACATTAGAGCTTCGGTCTAAGAGATCTACAGCTTTATCCAGGTCATCTTGGTTTTTCAGAGGGATAGAGAGCTGCAAAATAAACAACAGGAAAAAAATCATTACAAAAGACAGAAAAAATAAGTCTATTTCCACAACAGGTGTTTCAACAAACAGAAAAATACCAGAATGTAAGACAGGACTCTGACTGCTCACAAATTTTCATTCCAATACTGTCTCACTGTCCCCTCTTTAATGAGGTTTTCCTCCCGTGCCAGAGAAATGGCTGACCCTGGGCAAATTTCTCTAAAGCACCAGCCACAAAAATATTAATTGCTACCTGAATTTGCTGTTTGCAAAGAACAAGTCAGGGACTTGTCAGCCCCTGACTCCCTGAGGAGAACGTGGTCTCAGAGCACTTATGAATTCAGACCAAGTGAAAATTGGGTTTCAGAGAGAAAGAAGAAGATAAAGACTTTGAAAGGGGGAATCAAATTAGAATTTAAAACTTGCTAATAAGACCCCGTGAAATCGGGCTCAGACACCCTCTATTCTACAGCCCACTCACATCTCAAAATGGGAATGTTATTAACCCTGGAGAACTCTCATTTTTGTCCCACTCTCACTGGTGAATGGGGTTCTGCATCTCCCTCATTAGGGATGCAGTTCCAAACAGTGGGAGGGCGACACCACAACAATAAAAACAAGGAAAAACCAGCGTGTCCAGGGTGAGAAAGCCACTAAAATAGTTTAGATTATTAACATGGACTACCCAGTTCCTGAGAGACAAATGCTGTTCCCCATGTCACTTTATTTCACTGCTGACAGTGCCCACAGTCCCCCTAGAGCCTCCTCTGTTCTTGGACTCCCCTTGTTCCCCAGGCAACAAGATCTCCCTGGATATATATCAGCCTGCAAGAGTTGCTTTCAACAATAAAATACTTCAAACACCTTTTTTACTTCCCCAAGAGAGTCTCCCAACCACCACCAGTGCAAGGGAGCAAGATAGAATCATAGAATCGATTGGGTTGGAAAAGACCTCCGAGATCATCGAGTCCAACCCTTGGTCCAAATCCAAGGGCACTCAGTGCCACGTCCAATCTGCATTTAAAAATCTCCAGGGATGGTGAATCCACCACCTCTCTGGGTAGCCCATTCCAATGCCTGTGTGTTTGTACAACACACACAGCACTGTGAGGCTTTGTCAGGACCAGTGTGTTTTCCTTTGGACCAGGGATTCAACAGTGCTTTGCATTAAAGGGAGAACTGAAAATTAAATTTATGGGCACAGGGGGAGATGTGATGCAGAGAGTGTTTGCCATGCCCTGAGCACTGGGAGCTCTGTACCTCGTTGTTCATGTAGTGCAGGTCCAGGGGCTGCCCAAAGGCTGTTTTCACTTTCTGCTGCACGTCTTCGTAACGCACGGGCCGGACAAAGGGGATGATCCTGGAAGGAGAGAGAACCCCTGGCTGAAACCAGAAATACACCTGATAATGCAATCAAACCAGGTGGCTGAAGCGTTAAAAACACATCTGAATGCTCTCCTTTCATCCTCAAGCACGTAGGGAGCCTTTCAAATTTAAATTTGCACGCGTTGTTTCAGTAAGGAATTATTGATCTCTGGCCCATTTCCAACGGTTTGTCAAAATGCAATATTCAGCTGCAGCTTTTAAATAGAATCCCTTTGTCCCTGGGCAGAGAAGTATCCTTTGCTGAATCAGTGGCTTTCACAAAACAGGATACAAATGTCCCGTGCACCTTGGCTTAAAAAATACTGCCTTGGGCACAAAACACACTCAGGGAGAGTTAAATTAAAAGCTGCAGAGGCCAAAAGAATAAAACATTTAAGTATCCGAGTACCTGAACTCAAAATTCACTCCCTAATAATCTCCACAATGCATTTCATATTAAAAGTTTCAACAAATATTCCCACAGCAAAGTTAGTCCTGAACTCCTGAGGGAAGACAACAGCAGGTGGACACAAAGGAACCTGAAAACCCTCTTTCCCAAAGGTGGTCTGTGCCCTTAGCTCCATGTCTGTGCCCTGCATGCTCAGGTCAGACATCTCCAAACATCTGAATCATGGACTCACCACGCTGGCTTTCCAGTTTTCCATCAAATTATGGAATGGTTTGGGTTGGAAGGAACCTTAAAGATCATCTTGTCCCAAACCTGTGCAACACAGCAGGGTTTTTTTCTCCAGAGCTGAGGCCAAATCTAACTGTGCAAATGTTTGTCACACATGGCTTGCTTTATTTAAAAAAAATTGCTTTATTTTTTCATTAAAGAGGCCCAAATAGACCCAAACTTAAATACAGCTTCAGCTGTAATAGCAGTGTCACAGCTGACTTGCAACAATCGAGAATATTTTTATAAGTCAGAAGATTCACATTACACTGATCAGTCTCACACTCTCCTGCTTCCTCCCTCCTATTTTTTTATCTTCAGGCACCTTCAGCAATTGACACACAAAATCTGCCCAGATTTGAATTATTCCACACAAAACCTGCACAGATGTAAATTATTCTGATCACTGTCCCTGGGCCCAGACCTTGTGACACACTAAACCCCAGCTCAAGCACTCAGCCATTCCCTCCCCAGGTGAATGGCAGGAGTTTTACACTCACAGACAACAACAGCCTTCAGGAATGCAAAATGTTACCATGTGGACCCCTGTGGCACATAGAGGCTTTTCAGAAAATGACAGTACACTTTGCTTTGGTTTTATGACTGTTTTGCCTGCCTTGGAATAGCAACTCTCAATGTTTCAGGCAGAGGAACAATATGAACTTCCAGGAAAGCATCTAGAACTCTTTTATTTTGCTGGAATGTTCTGCTGTAGGAAGTCACCAAGTACTCACAAAGTCTACCTTGACAGCCACGGAAAAGGATGATTTTCACCCTCTTCAGAATAATCTGGAGGATTCAAGTGCAAGCTATAGTTTACAACCCACTGTTCTAAACAAACCAGGGTCACCCAGAGCAGTGGTGGAATCATCTCTGCAAGTGTTCAAAAAACATGTGGATGGGGCACTGGAGGACATGTTTTAGTGGTGACCACGGTGGTGGTGCTGGGTTGGACTTGAGGACCTTAAAGGTCTTTTCCAACCTGCACAATTCTGTGATTCTGTGCCACCTCCAGCTCAGAAAGCCACTCTTCACCTCTTTGCTGCACAGGCTTCTCACCTTCTGCTTCCATGAGATCTCACTGTGTCTACACTGCAAGTCAAACCCTCCAGGGCAGTCACAGGACAAGGGGGAATGGCTTTAAACTGAAAGAGGGCAGGGTTAGATGGGATATTGGGAAGGAATCCTTCCCTGTGAGGGTGGGGAGGCCCTGGCACAGGTTGTCCAGAGAAGTTGTGGCTGCCCCTGGATCCCTGGAAGTGCCCAAGGCCAGGATGGAACAACCTGGGATAGTGAGTGGCATCCCCAGCCATGGCAGGGAGGGTGGAACAAGATGATCCTTATGGTCCCTTCCAACCAAAGCCATTCCAGGTTCAAACCATCACTATGATTCTGTGATGAACCTGTGCTTTGGATAAAAGGCTTAACTTCCCATTCATCCACCCATCCATCCATCCATGCATCTTCATCAGCCCTGGGTATCCTCTCACGAGATGCAGCTTTTGTTTTAAATAGCCCTTGTGTCAGTTGGCTTCCTCAGCCCCTTCCCAGGAAAGGTTCATCTTGCCACCAGTCCTACAACATCCAGCTATTTGGAAATAATTGTGCTTGTTAAAAAGCAGCCCACAATAACATTTTCTACATATTCCTAAGAAACCCATCCACGAAATTACAGTACTCTGGCACCACACAAATGTAATTTAGCTCTCAGTGCCTTATAAAGGCTCCCATTCTACACTCAACGCATTCAAAAGCAGAGCTGTTCTCAGGTGCCACAAATTCTATTAGTTTAAAAACTCTGTGCACTCCTCTAACACAAAATCCTGGACTGCAGGGTTTGAGGAGCCCATTCCTGCCTGACCACCTTAAATATTTGTGGTTAGATCTGGCAGCTGCTGTGAAGCCAAGCACACACACTCACATTCTGGTGCAGGCTCCCTGTCTGTAACTGCACACCGCGCTGGGAGCGGGGAATTCGCCGGAGTGAAACTGCATAATTAGACTAACACACAATCAACCTTTTAATGTTACTTCAGAAAAAAAACCCTTTCTCCCCCCCTCCCCGAGCTCGGTGCCACCTGAAATGCACCCGGGTTGAAGAGAGGCAAGATGAGAAGCTCGTGGGGACAGATTTTGCTGCTGAGTTCCCTCGTCCTGGCACGGTGTGACAAGGAATTGTGACAGGGCACCCCCTGCCTCTGTTTTGCCCACACAAACCCCTGACACAGGAAGAAGATCTGGCTGACAAAGGAGGCAGCAGATCCCAGTGATGATCACTTCTAAAATTTCTCCCCAAGCACCAAAAGTCAGGGTTGTTTTAGGGACAGAATTCATCGCGCAGGATTTTAGCGAAAGCAACAGTTCAAGTTTTGGGGAAGATCACAAATTATTCTTCACTGCCTGCTTTGTCAACAAAGAATGCTTCTGCTTTCCTGATAAAAATCCCCAAATTTGACAAAGGAGGATACTTGAGGAGGAGCTTCAGCACCTCAGCCATAACCTTTGCTAGGACCAGGTATGAGGATCCCTGCAGACAACTTGTGCTGTTGTACCATCAACATTAAATTTGCATTTTATCACGAAACCACGAACTGCTTTATGTTGGAAGTAAATGGGAGAAACCAAAGGATTCCCATAGGATGGCTGTGAGGAGTAGCACGTACATTCCTGCTTACAATCCAATTAATTTCCTCCAAAATAAGGGAACTGTAACCCATCATTAAGATCACTTTTTGCCCTCAGTGAGAGCAGACTCAAAGAGACCACAGACAAGCTTGGAGCCTTCCTGTATGTCCACACACCACCACACAGCCATTAAATGTTTTGAGAGTTCCTCTCAATGCTATGGCAAGTAAGAGGCATTTTGAGACCTACTTTTAAATATCCAGGCAATTTTATCCATTGCAAACAATGCTGTAAAAACTGAAAGCTGCTATTTCAGTTGTTTCTGGGTTTTTCTTGTAAAAGAATGTCTCTCAAAAAAGGAAATAACAAAGAAACTTTTACACCAATGAAAAAAAATCTTCCCTTGCTGTATCTGTTGCTCAATCACAGCAGGACAGTGATAGCAACAGGGCATCAGGAAGTGAGAAACTAGAAAAGAATGACACTGATTTGATCAGCTTCATTTGGTTTTAGTTAAATAAAACAAAATGGGAACATGTATGAAGCGAGACTTTCAGGTTGAATTTATTTCAGGCTGGACAGCTTTTTAATATCGCTGCAATTCACTTGCAAATAGATATTATGGAAATAAATCACTGTTTTATGACACGCCGGTCTCTAAAAATAACCAAGTTGTGTGTGACCTGTCTGTTATGGCCTTCCCTGTGTGATTTTCGTTCAGGAAAAAGAAAAGTGAGGCCAACAAAATATTTAACCTAAATTACTGATGACTGAACCATTCTCATGAGCAAAGAACCCAAGCACTGAAGGCCAACTTACCGTCGCTCCCCGTTGTGTTCAAACTTTATCCTGACATCATTCTGCAGGAGGAAGAACAAGAGGTGAGTTCACAATCAAATTCTGCCACACAAATGCACCACAACAGGATTTTAATATGATTTTAAGTTTCTTGATGGAAGCTAAGGTAGACTGTGGGAACAAGTGGCTGGTATGTTTTTCAGAGAAACTGCCGAAGGAGAAAGGCAAGGAAAGGGGTAAAAACTAAGTTGTAATTTTTGTTAACTGTCACTGGAACAGAGGACACTTTTAAGGAAAATTAAAATACCTTGAACACTGCATGGTAAAAATCTGAAATTGAGTCCTAACTGCTTATTCATCTTAATTGAAGGTGATTTTCTTTGAGCACTCAAAGCAAAGATGGAAGAGAGATACAGAAAATGTATACATTCTCTATTCTTATGCCTTCCTTTTATTCTTATTGTTTATTCTTATTCTGATTTCTATTTATTATTCTTATTCGTTATTCCTATTTGTTATTCTTCACTCTTAAGACATGGACTAAATCTCTGCTTTTGCAAAAATGCAGCCCCTGAAACTCCAACTAAGTCACAACCAGGCTGATTCTGTGTCACCTTCTAAAGCTCCTCACCTGTATCTGGGTGGTTCAAAGCACAACCACACAACCTGTGCAGTCACTGCACACTCAGAAGATGCTCTGTGGCACAGAAGAGTCAACGTGCTGAACTTTCAACTCTGGACATCGAAGTTCAAATCCCAATTTAGGTCAGAAAGATAAAAATAAAAGGGAAAAATCTGCTCCGATAAGACTCCATAATTTCTGCTGCACAATTTATGTGATTGGAATAGATTAAGCCATCTGTGAAAGCCTCAGACAATAGGCAATCATACATCTAGGAACTTCAAAACAACGTGGCCAGGAAATGCTCTTTAGCTGGAGGAAGTTTCTGGCAGGCCCAGTGGTCAAGAATTCAGTTCAAAGGGATGGGATTCCTGCAGCATGGATCAGGGAAAATGAGCTCCCCAGTCCCAGCAACGACCCCCTGCAGGTGGGTACTTCACGTGTAACTTTAAAAGACAATCTTTTTAGATGTGGGAAGAGAAAGAACTTACTCTAGAATGACTCCAAAATGAAACAAACTCATCTGGATTGAGCAGTAAAGGAAAAATGCAGCAAACAGCACAGGAACAGTATCCTATAAAAGATGCCCACCAGCCAACTCCTGATGAAACAGCTGTTCTTAGACATATTGGATGGAGGAATGATCCCTCTGGGTCAGGATTTTCAAAGAAGTAAGTTTGTCTTAGACATACTGGATGGAGGAATGATCCCTTTCTATCAGGGTTTCAGGGAAGTAAGGCTCTAGGTAAGTTTTTTTTTTAATGTCAGACTATTCTAAATAGCCCAGTCTAAGGGAACTAAACAGGACTGTTTGGATGAAATGGAATTCAAGTCATTTTTCAGATTAAATTTCTGACCTCAAGACGTGGTTTAGGTCCTGGAACAGCCAAGTAACACAGCTCTCATTAATTAAAATTAGACAACACTAAAAAGATCTTCAGGGCTCTTTGGAGACCTTTCTTTAACTTGCTGGTACCTAAGGAAACCAAAATCACTTTCTCAACTCCACTGCACACTTTAGAACCTGTAATTTGGAAGAAAGGGAAGGGGGATGGAATTTGGCATTTATCTCTTGCTGATTTTTCCATAAGGGATCAGACACTGGTCACTCATGTCTATTTTTTAAAGATCTAAGAAAAGGTGTTCAAAGTGATCTCAGTGTTCACACTCCAGAGAGAAACTCGAGGAGTTAAGCTTTCCAGTGCTTTCAGTTTCTCTGGAAAGCAGTGAGCCCATCAATTTTTAAAGTAAGTCATATAAACTCTCCTAAGAGATGAGTAAAAAGGCAAATCCAAGTTTAGTGCCTCAGCGTTCCAGTACCATAAATCACGATTACAGGTTTTGATTTAAGACATCCCTGGATTCCCGTTCAAAGCCATCCGGGGAGGATTTTTGTTCTGCTCCATCTACAGATTTGTCCAGCACATTCTAGGAAACCCCAGATCCAGCTGAACAAGTAGATTACGAGCAGGCAAAGCGTAAGGAAGACAGACATGAACTTTAAAGCCTGCTCCAAAAGGCTTAAGCCTGTAACAGGAATCAAACTGCAAAGAGTTATTTTACTGACATAGGCAACTTGTCCTGTTAATGTCAGTCTTACTGCCAGCAACTTGATCTAACCTTGTAAGACAGTAAAAGACAAACAATTCTTGGCTGAAATTGCTGCTTTTGCTTTGAAGTATTTCATTTAAATGACATCCAGCATCTACTGACAGAGTAAAGAGCCATTTATTCTGTCCTTCCTTTCGACCAGAAAGTCAATACCAGAGTTTTCTTCATGAAAAAGTCTGCAGCAATGTGGAACAAACCTGGAGTGCTGCCTCCATCACTTCCAGACTGCTTTGGGTTGGAAGGGACCTTAAAGCCCACCCAGTGCCAACCCTGCCCTGGGCAGGGACACCTTCCACCAGCCCAGGTTGCTCCAAATTTATCCAACCTGGCCTTGGACACTTCCAGGGATCGAGGGGCAGCCACAGCTTCTCTGGGCAACCTGGGCCAGGGCCTGCCCACCCTCCCAGGGAAGGATTCCTCCCCAATATCCCATCTAACCCTGCCCTCTTTCAGTTTAAAGCCATTCCCCCTTGTCCTGTCACTACACTAAAACAGGTACCCCCTGTAACATCAGGAGAGAGCCGGGAAAGAAAAGCTTTTCCAGCCTCCCACACCTGCTTAAAGGAACCCTACAAAGGTCACAGCACACACTGGTAAAACCTACACATAATTTATAATTGCTGATAGAGAAATAAAGCCAGTTTTCTCACCGGAATTTTTTTTTCTTCCACTGCAGAGGCACACTGGTTTGTTATTGCAGGGCTGCCCAGGAGGGGGGGACTGCTGGCATTGTGTTTTTTCTTTAAAAGGAATAAAAACATTTTTAAAAAAACAGCAAGTTAAAAATTTTTACACTTGGTAAATTTTTTTAGCTGATCAGACCAAACAACATCACAAACACATGTGGGGGGAAGGCAGGATACTAAGATGATGCAAATTATCAAATACAAACACACACACACATATATATATATAAAAAATACATAACTTTACATATATATCCTTATATATAGCTTTTAATTTTATATAGATAAAACCAATATAAAATATATACTATTTTTAATTATAATTTATACATTATAATAAAATTGTATTATTCTAGTAATTATTTTGATTGTATATATAATCAATATAATTTATATATAACATTAATTAGTAATAATTACTTAGTATTTCTATTATATTAGAAAATTAATTATATCAATAATAACATAGTATACCTCTAGCTATAGTTTATAGTAAGATCATATATTATATCTAGATATATATAAGATATAATAATAATATATTGATGATTCTAATAAGATATATTAGATATATTAATATCTATTATCTATATAGATATATAGATATATAATATTATACTACTACATTACTATATAGTTAGAGTATATAACTATATTTAAAATATATAAATAAAATATATAACTATATTGTATATAAAATTATATACAACAGTATACAAATATAATAGTACATATAATAATATAACTAATTTAATATATAAATTAATTATATATAAAAATATAGTAAATATCTACTATTTTTAATATAGTAGATATTTATATATTTTATACATATTGGTATACATTATAATAATTATAATATACATTAACATACATTATTAATACATATTATATATTATATTTTTATGTAGATATGAAAATTAAAATGTTCCATATTTGCCACACAGCCTGAGCAGGATGAGGGAGTTAATCCTGCCAGAAGCAGAGGCAGCAGATCCTCTGTCCTTCTGCCCCCAGGCCCCCATTTCCCCATTTCAGGGGCTCCCTCAGTGGCCCATTACCTGTTTGTTGGTGTGAGCAGTGTCTTTATTCTTCATGGTCTCATAGCCAGGCAGCCTGTGACGCCTGCTCATCTGGAGAGCCACCAGGTCCTTCATGATGGATTTCAAGGCCTCCTGTTCATCTGCCAGGCACAAGAATTTTTGGAGTAAGTGGCCTGGGTGAGCATCAACTGTGACACTTCTTGGGGAACAACAAACCTTTTCAGGGTCTTTGCAAAGACACTGTGATTTTGTTTAGTCACAGAAAGCCCAAACTAACAGAATATCATTTTAAGTCTCTTGTCCAGTGCCACAGAAGGATCAGAATAAATATGCCCAGCCCCTAATTGTGTTTAAAAGCCTTCACAACAAACAGTACAACCTGAGCAGATCTGCTAGATCATCAGAGGTCATTTAGGAAGGGCAAACTGATGTGCTTCTGCCAAGGAAAACCTGGTAAAAATCTGTTCTTTCCCACTTTATATCCTGCTAACTCTCAATTCTTGCTTGTTAGCAGAACAAACCACAGCCAGCAGAGAGAGAAACGAAAACCCGGGCGAAGAACCATCCTGGAGTCTCCCTGAACACAAATCCACTCGCACTGATTGCCCCAACACGTTCCTCTCTTCCCTCAGAACAAGCTGATGGAACAAAATTCAACCCATTTTATGAGATTTCAAGATGAGATTTGATTTGAGCAGGTTCAAATCGTCCAGCACTGAGAACACTGTCTGCTGGCAAAGTGCAACGCAGCAGGTTCAATTCAAGGCTTCTTGCCTTGCAGGAAAACACACACATTGAGTTTTTCCTTGTATGTACTACTGACTAAAAATTACTTTCTGAAGTGAACATTCCTGATATAACCCATTTAATGTGTTCTCTCCCATTGCCTGTTAGTTTTGAGGAGAGAAGTGTATTTTATTTAGCAGAACTTTGTATGATATCTATAGAGAAAAGAAGATATATAAGGGGGGAAATGCTCAGTAACTGTGATGGATGGTGCAAAAAGGTCTAAAAGCCACGGAAAAGAATCCTTTGCTTTAGCAAGGACAATGATCTCAAATTCTTTAAGGTAAAAGAAGTTGCCATGTGAAGTTTTGTCCAAAATGGGACTGCACTGGCCACTGTGCTCCAGGCACTGCCACAGCCAACAAAGCAGCCTCAGATGCCTCACTTTGCTCCTGGCACAGTCCCCTGGTGTCTCACACAGCAAGACTCAGAGTTTTTAGGGATAAAGTGTTGTTTCCTCGGCAAATAATACACCCAGTTAAATCCTTCCTGATACTGAGGCATTCTTTAGGCATGAAATGTGAAGCAGTGATTTGATCAGCTCTGAACATCCCCAGCAGAATCTGCCCTTTCCAAACGAGTCTGGGTGGACTTGGCCACTAGTTTTGAATGTAAACCTGTTTGGTTTTTTTTTCTTTTTGGATAATTGGAGCTTTTAGAAGTGATGTGAGCCCCATAAGTTATCACAGCCCTACTCAGGTGACAGTGTGTTGGGTGTGCAGTGCTTGAAATGCACAATTCCTCACGAAGTCCCCAATCACCTGGAGGAGTTTGAACTGAAATGAGCATTTTTGAAGCTGATCTGTAAACAACTGAAACTTCATTTTAACAACCCACCACGGCTGAACACTCATTCCTGAGTCGTGGCACTGGTCTGATGGGTAATGGTTTGCATTTGGAAGAGCTGTCCTGGGAACAGCTGCTGAACATTAAATGATGGACTGACTCGCATCTGTATTTCCCTGTACAAGGGACTCACTGGGACTATTTGTTTCTTCAATTTTATGTCATGTATTTGTTCGTGAGTGTCTCCAAAGCAGCCAGTGTATGTTTTATGCACAGACTGGCTTCATAATTAATCAGTGTCTCAATAACAAACCAGATTTTCGCAATGCTTGAAGATGACAGATGTGGGACATGTACAGCCTGTGGAGCAGCCAGGGAGCAAATGCTACTAAAAGCAAAATGGGGGAAAAAATATACCTATTTGTAAGGAAGAAACACCTAAAGAAGTCCCAGGGAGAAGTCACACTAATGATATCTTTGGTACAACAAATAGTTTCTGCCCAGGTCTGCTTTAGCTTTCATAGGATCACAGAATCATAGGGTAGTTTGGGTTGGAAG